AAGTAGTCCACTCTCTTTATGAACTGTGACTGAAACTGAACTTGTCATATAGATGGGTACAGTACAGTTTTACGCTACTGATGTCTTCGGGAGCTTACTGCAGCTCTGTGGTTTGCAATCGCACATGGGGAGATTGGTCTCTTAATTATCCATGTTGGAGGAGGACGTTCCAGATAGAGCTTTAATAATGTTTTAAGTATTTAGATAGCTTATAGACACTTACATACACACTCATTTGTGTACCTTGCTTATTCTCAATGAAGATTAATTTTTTTGTTGTTGCTGTTTTTAGTTTTAGTTTTGGTTTTTTTGAGACAGGGTCTCCCTGTAGCCTCAGCTGGCCTGGAGCTCGTTATGTAGACCAGGCTGGCCTTGAACTCACAGGCCTGCCTCTACCTCCTGAGTGCTGGGCTCAAAGGCATGTGCCACCACACCCAGCAAGATTATTTTTAAATGTACAACAAATCTTAATTTGCTTTCCAAACTTATGCTTATGAGTTAGAAATAGTAATAATCCTATTGTCCAACCATAATCCAGTAGCCAATGATAATCTGATTATTTAAAGTATATTTTGGCCAGACATACTCTGCTTGTTCAAATAGGCATAGTCTTAGCAAAATACAAGAGGCAGACTCCAGATGTTGTCCAATGGTATTAAATTAGTCCACATGAAACTCTGTAAAACATCCCTGTAGATATATTTTTGAAGGTATACCAGAAGTTAGAGGATATTTGTTTCTTTGGGGACTCTGCTGATGGTGCCCTTTTCCTCACTGCTCCAGCTGTTCTTTCTGTCCTACCTCCTGCATGCCTGGAGCTTCAGGATGGGTTGTTGGAAGAATGCATGTATCACCTCTGTGGCCATAGGTAATAGCAAGTGGGAATTTGGGTTTTTAAAGTGGTCACTTTATAGATGCATAACAGAAGCCTGCACAGTTCAGAATTTATGTAAGATGACAATTCAGGGTCAGGGCTGGGGTGAAAACCAGCCATCTTGGGATTCCCAAATGGAGTGTCAGCTCCAGAATTCTGCCACCCAAGCGAATGACACTATAAGCAAAATAGAAATGTCCAACCACTGGATAACATAACCTTCTGAAACCTAATATCCCCCTTAGCTGTAATAGTAATCTTTATATTTTTTTGCTTGTAATACGTGCTAACAGCAGTGGTTTTGTTAAAGTCATGTTATGGGTGGTTATTGTGCAGTGACTCCTCCAGCTCAACACACAGCCTCCTGGTGAGGAGAGATATATAGATGAGTTTTTAAGACAAATAAACTAATATAATATTTCTCTATTTTGCCTTTTTGTTATTGTTGTTTAAAAAACAAAAACTCAAGAAATGGTGTCCATGTTCAGTGGAAGGAGTAAGTATTGTCACGTGACACCACAGGAAGCAGCACCTTGCTTCCTAATAGTTCCCTCTGTCCCACTGGATTCATCATCAGTCACTTAAGCAGCCTTCTACTTTTTCCTAAGGCACGTCATGCAGCAGTGTCATCTGTAACCATATTTGTGTCTGTGACATTGTTGGGTAAAAGCTATGTGTCATTTAACTGTTTTTAACCAGTGGAACTGATTTGTTTTTATTAATTTCTTTGCTTTGTCATCTGTTTTATTCCACCTGCATAAACAGTACATTCAGCTTATTGCTTTGTTTTTTATTTTGGAATAAAGATACTAATAGTATATGACAAATAATTGTGTAGATATAAAATAGTGCTTTCCAAAGACAAAATAAATTAATAGCATTTTTATTATTTTCACTTGAGTTTTATACCCTCGATATCTCTCTGTTAGAAGCATTAAGAATTACAGGATTATTCTTAGGTTTCTCTCTCTCTCTCTCTCCCTCTCTCTCTCTCTCTCTCTCTGTGTATGTGTAAAATAGTGTAGTAGTTAGGTTTTCACCTTTGTTTTATTTTGCCACCACTATTATATAGAATCTTAAATCAGAACATGAATTTCCCTTCAATTAAAAAAATGTACATTTAACCTGAGATGTGGTCCCAGGGATCCTCCCATCTTACAGGGGCACGCCATCACACCAGACCTTTTATGTGGGAGCTGGAGATCTGACCTCAGGCCCTCACACATGCATACACTTTACCCCCTGAGACATCTCCCCAGCATTGTCATATTTTTATCGTTATTTTCCCTTTTTTGGTAAAAAAAAATTTTTACTAAGATATATTCTCATAACATAGAATTCAAGCATTTTGAGTGTACAATGGTTTTCCATATTCACAAGTTGTAGAACTATCACTCCAATCTATTTTAAAACATTTTCACCAACCAAAAAGAAACCCATATCCTTTATCAGTCACCACCCACCTCGTGCTTTCACCCTCATCACCTAAGTTGTGAAAAACATCTTTGCCTCCCAAAGCAGCCTTATCCACCCACATTCCACAGAGTGAATTTCCTTCTGCCCTTCCAGTGTATCAGAATATTTTATCTTTATCTGACTGCTAGATAACAAATCATTTCTTTTTCTCTTTGAGTCACCTAATCTTGTTTCTTGGCCCTTCGTGTCTTCTCTGTGAACCTTTTTGAAGACTTACCCTAAGTGTGTACAGACAGGAATGTCAGTGCTTTATTTCTTCTCATCCACTATTATATGATGCATGGGACAAAGGCCACTATGACGTTAGATCACCCTGAATCACAGAAAATAATAGGTGCCCATGCATCCAGAAGTCTTCCTGGGGTTCATCACCTGGGGCTGCCCCAGTATGAAACAGAGGGGCCCATCCATTTGTCTGCAGAATGACTCTGCTTTACCAGTGTAGATAATTCTTGCTTCTCTACTTGACTCAACTAGACCTTGTCTAATCTATCAGTTACTATTTTTAATTGCTAACTCAGTGTCTTTGTTCTAGTCTACTAAAATGCAGTCATCCCAGGATAAAGCTCTATGGGCCCCTCCCACCAGCCTGTGGAGGCTGACAGTTTTGTTCACTACCTGGTAGATTCCTTGATTATCTCTTCAGTTGGCAGGTCTTTGGGGCAAGTGGGACCTGAAATGCCAGAAATGGGAATAGGCATTTCCTTCCTACTAGATCTGGACCGGTTTACCTATCAATACTTGTTAATTAAGCTACTTTTTATAGGACCCAGGGCTTCAAGCCTAGGGCCTCCTGTGTGTTACATAAGCATGCTACTACTGAACTGCATCCTAAGCCCATTAAGCTCCTTTTGAGGGACTATGATCAGAGGTAGTGGGGGATCCTTGGCTTCTCCCCTACCACCTCTCTACTAGGTACCATAAACTATAACCAAGTCTGCCAGCATGTATTAGCAAGTGACAAAATGCTATCTTGCTACCTGTGATCCTACTCAGTGCTTCCCCACACTTTGTTCCTTGGATTCACTTTACTTCCTTAAAACAAGTGGACGATAATATTCAGGGGCATCTTTAATGCATCTGACACCCAGAATGGACTGTTTTTTAGCACCTTCCTCTATACTATAAAGCCATTTTTAGTATCACCATATGCTATTCAGTAACATGCATTTTCTGACTTACTACATAAACAATCAGAAAAGAAGAAATTTTACATTTTAAAGGTCTATTCAAATTTGTAACTAATCAATCAAAAAGAAAGCAAGAGCACCTCTAGGCCACAGGACCTGAATCCTTGGACTCCCTGGTTGAAAGACATTCCTCCCACACTAGGACTGTCATCTTTAAAAGCATCAAAGTCCTGACAGTCTCAGAAAGATTGAGGGTCTGTCTGAGACCGAACAGGATCAAGGAGAAAGGACAGCCAGAGGCAGCCAGTGGCTCGGAACTGGGTCCTTTCTCTAGTAAGATTAGAATAGTGCTAAAATTTCAACAACAGCTCTGAACATAGGGTGGCACTGTTGTATCATGGTCTCCTGAGTGTGCGAGCTTGTGGATAAAAAGGGGATACATGGAATTAGGGCTTGGTGGGACAGCAGGTGAACATCTCAAAAGATTCCGGGGCCGGGGGGAGAGTCATTGTACTATAATATACTGTACTACTAATTTTGATGTGTTCATGGCTTTTTTTTTTGGAAAAAAAGTATTAGTTTATAAAGAAACATATCTCTAGAGTAGCTGAGATGATTCAAGATCTCTGTTAAATGCTTTAGTCATCCAACTAGCTTTATTCATATTATTCAAGTTATTTAACCACAGCTAAATTTCAGGTTACAGCTTTCAGTAGCTGAGGCATTGGAAATGAATATTATACAACTCTAATCTTTTTCTTATTCTTCAGTGTTTGTGATAAGGTCTTGCTGTTTTACCCAGGCTGACCTCAAACTTATGGTCCTCTTGCCTCAGTTTCCTGAGCTGAGATTGTGTGTGTGGCTCACCATGTCCAGCTGTTGCTAACTGTTCAATACTTTTTTCCATTTTTCTGTCTCGTGGATTTTTGCAAGTAATATTATTTGTCTTTTCTGTTCTTTACATAGTTTGTAGATTTAGATTTTTTGTGTGTGTCTCAGGGTCTCCTTGTAGCCCCAACTGGCCTGGAATTCACTATGTAGACCAGGCCTCGATCTCACAGAACAGAGATCCTCCTGCCTCTGCCTCCCTAGTGCTGGAATTAAAGGTGAACGCCACCACGCCCAGCTTTGTAGATTCTTTTAATAAATAATTTTCTTGGATTGGTACAGGGATTGATACAGACTATTTTATTTGGTTAATTTCTATGGAAATATTAAAACTGAGGGCCAGTTTTGGCTGCATTATTGCAGATATCATTAAAGAATGCGGTTTTTTTTTTTAAACTTGTTTGTGGTGCTGGGGATGGAACTCAGGGCTTCGTGCATGCCAGCCGAACAGGATCAAGGAGAAGCCTACTACTACTCGGTTACCGCCCCCCCCCCCCTCGTGGTTCCTATTTCAATTAAAATTTTCTTTTTTAAAAGGCCTCAGGTGGGCTGGGCGTGGGTGTAGGATGCTTTGGGCAGGTGCTTGCAGCGTGTCCTCCCCCATGGGCTAAAAAGCTTTGTGCTCCCCGCAGCCTTCAACACCGCCAAATGCGAGAAGCTGCAGAAGGAGAAGGAGGCGCTGGAGCGGCGGTTCGAGGACGAGCTGAGGCGGCTGGGGTGGCAGCAGCAGGCCGAGCTGCAGGACCTGCAGGAGCGGCTGCAGCGCCAGTTCGAGGCCGAGAGCGCGCGCCTGCAGGAGGAGCACCACGGCCAGCTGCTGCGCATGCGTTGCCAGCATCAGGAGCAGGTTAGTGACCCCGCTGCACAACAGGGTGGAAGGGGCAGGAGAGACAGCCACGTGAGCAAAGGAGCTTGTGGTCAAGTTCACGCTCCGGCTGCACGTCTGCCCTCCGATTCTTGCCGCTGCCGGTTCAGCTGCGTGGGCCTCCCTCACTCATCCTCGGGGTTGTTGCACTTGTACCATTAGCTCGGAATGCTCTCCCTTCAGACATTGCTGGCTCCCCGTCTCCTTCATTCCAGGTCTCAGTGAGGTCTTGACTTCCCTAAAGTTCCAGTTTTCTCCCCTCCACGCATACACACACCCTGTTCCCTTCCCTGCTTTAGCGTTTCTTGAGCACTGAGACTGTCTGACATTACAATTTATTTTTGTTTTATGGGTATGAATGTTTTGCCCGGGTGTAAGTGCACTGCGTGCATGCAATGCCCACAGAGGCCAGAAGAGGGCGTGGGAGCCCCCTGGAACTGGAGTTACAGAAAGCTGTTAGCAGACATGTGGGTGCTGAGATCTGAACCTGGTTCCTCTGCAAGAGCAGCCAGTGCTCTTAACGCTGAACCATCTCACCAGTTCCTAACATAAAATTTACACTTGTCCCTTATTGATCAACTACTGTCTGCCTATTCTGTGTGGGCAGAGATGCTAGGTAGACAGGTAGCTCTGGTTCCACATCAGATACTGCTTTCATGCTTAACATATACTAACTAGTTGGCTCCTCATAATCACCTTACCAGATAGGTCCATTCACATCCCCATTTTACAGGTGAGAAGATTGAGTTCCAGGGTTAAGTAAGCCACCAGAATTCCTAGAGCTGCTTATGAAAAAGCCAGGGCAGAGTGAACCTGGTCCATGGTCCAAGCTGACATCTGTTCACTTAGAGCCACCTGCTGGTTCTTGCCAAGACGTATTCGCTGCATGAAGTGGTCAATGGAAATAATTAACTTTACCCCAACAGCCCACAGGACAAGGAATTACCGCAGAATAGTAAGGGAGCAATTCTCCCAGAGCCTACCAGTATAGCAGCGGGAGGGACCCAGCTGTGCCTACTCTGTGGCAGCTGCCGGCCCCTGACCTTGGGTGACACATAGAACCAATCTGCTGCCACAAAAGCTGCTCCTTGCTTTTCTCTCAGAGGTCCTGAGTTCAGATGGCTCTGTGTGTGTGTGTGCGTGTGTGTGTGTGTGTGTGTGTGTGTGTGTGTGTGATTTTTATGTGGACTGTTTATGATATGCACAAGGTAGCACAAGGTAGATTGGTGTTGTGGAAGAGTGCTCTGCAAATCTCAGCTGACACCTATGTGGGCCTTCAGCATCAGGAACCTTTGGGATGCCCTCCCCAGCTGCTTCCAGGCTGGCATCCTAGATGGCAGGTGCCACACAGCACCTCTCCCCACCCCCATCCCAGAGGCTGTGAACCCACAGGAGCACAAGAAACTTTCAGAGTGTTGAGAAGTACTGTTGTAACCAAGAATCTCTTATCTTACAGCATTTTTTTTTTTTTTTTTTTTTGTGGCAAACATCTCAGGTCAGTGACTCTCCTTTTCTAGAGGTAAATGAAAAACAGGTGCAATAGCTTTGGCTTAGAGCCTATGACACAGAAAAGGTCTAGGTAAAGGTAGCTGTGGTGTTAAGCACAGAAAGTGAAGCCCTGGCATGCAGGTGTCTGCAGAGGCTGGAGGGTGCCAGGTCCCCTGGAAATGGAGTTACAGGTGGTTGTGAGCTACCTGAGATAGGTGCTGGGGAAGGATCCCCAGGTCCTCTGGCAGAGCAGCAAGAGCTCTTAAACTCAGATCCATCTCTCCAGTACTCACAGCAACTTTTTAGAGTCAGTCCTGGGAAGGGCTGAAAAGAAGCTCTTGACTTCTGCACTTGAGAATGAGTTATGTTCGTGCCCTATGCATTTGGGAAAGCACTTAATCTCCTGTGAGCTCCAAGCTCCCTCCATCTTGGTTCTTTATGAGCTCTAGAATCATTTGGTTATTCATTTTCCCATGCAAAACATATTTATTGAATACCCTCTATATTCAGGGCACTATGACAGAGGCTGAGAAATACCAAGATTTATAGAATGTAAACTTGCTTACTTCACAGGAGAATTTCAAGGACCAGTGCCAAGGGGCTCTGACATGGGGGGAAATGCAGGCACCGTGTTTAATTGTAGGGGGCTCAGGCTAGAGAGATGGCTCAGCGGTTAAGAGCACTGACTGCTCTTGCAGAGGACCCGGGTCCAATTCCCAGCACCCACATGGCCGCTACAAACCTTCCTTAACTCCAGTTCCAGGGGAATCCGAAGCCCTCTTCTGACCTCCACGGCATTGCACAACATGGGTGCACTCACATACATGCAGGCAATACACTCATGCACATAAAATCAAAATAATAAATAAAAATTTTTAAAAACGAGTAGCTGGGCGTGGTGGCACATGCCTTTAATCCCAGCACTTGGGAGGCAGAGGCAGGTGGATCTCTGTGAGTTCAAGGCCAGCCTGGTCTACATAGTAAGTTCCAGGACTGTTGGGGCTACAGGGAGACCCTATCTCAAAAAGACCAAAAAAAAAAATAAGAGTAGGGGGCTGACTCCAGCTGAAAGGATCGGAAAGGCTCTATCCGGGAAGAGTTTTGAGTGCTTTATGTTTGAAAGACTCTGCAACAGAACCCCAGGAGAGGACCAGGGACACAGTTCAGTGACAGAGCACTTATGTGACAGGTGCAAGGCTGCGGGTTCCATCCCCAAGGAGGCCTTTACCTCTGCTCCTACTGTTGCCTGGTGGCTGTTTCCCTGACTCAATTTGCTTTCTGCAACAACGCAGGCAGAAATTAAGGGAAAAAATTACATATGATCATTGGTGAGAGAGGATACCCATGTGACAGATTGAAATGGAGATGGGGATCACATGTGGTCTCAGTAATTGTAGGAGGGATTCCCCACACTCATGTACTCATATCTCACCCCTTACAGAGAGTCACCTGGGTAATGCTAAGCCCATCAATTGTGGCATCTGTTCTAGAGCCTTCAAAGTCTGGCCTCTCATTGGATCTCACAGCCAGTAGCATGTGGCAGGGGCCTCTTCACTTCAGATGCAAAAGACTCTCCTGGGTTTTTAGGCTGTACTGTTACTCAAGGAGGGGGGAGGCGTCTAGCTCCTCCTGGCAGACTGACCTCAGACTTTACTGAGAGATCTTACTAGACAAAACCAGCTAGATCTCCTTCTGCTTAGCTGTTTACTACCTCAAGGGGGAGAGCTGTCCATGGTCTCTGCTGTGGGGATACATGGAAGTCATTGAACTGGCAGATGTGAGCACTAACTGAATGGGAATTGCTAGGCAAAGCCTCATGGGAACTGATTTGAAAGCTGGACAGAGATTTCCCATATGCAGCCTCCCTGTATCCAGGGAGGTGCAGAACTTGTTCCTCAGTTCAGCAGGAGCTTGAGAGGGGCTTGGCCGGGCAAGGGAGGTGACTGCATCTTGGCTTTCTTATGTGAGTTAGCTTAAAGATATGATGGAACTCCCATTTTTAAAGTATAGTGATAAGACCGTGTATAGCTCAATGATAGAACCCTTGCTTTGCATGTACAAGACTCTGAGTTCCATCCCCAGCAGTGCAATAAAAATTAAAAAGTATGGGCTGGGCAGCTGGCTCAGCAGGTAAGAGTGCTTGCTGAACAAGCATGAGAACCTGCCTTCAAACCTCAGCATCCACTAAAAGCCAGGCATGGGCTCCTGTGCCTGTAACCTCAGCTTGTGGGGCATGAGTAGTGAGCAGAAACAGGAGAGTCATGGGGGCTTTCTGGTCACCAGCCTAGTGCCAGGTTCAGCAAGAGACCCTTTCTCAGTGCAATAAGGCAGAGTCATGGGGCAGAAACACCTGATGACTTTCTCTGACCTCCGTGGCATTCATGGGCAGAGAGAGAAAGAAATGATAAAAGTATTTTATCAAAATTAGCTATCATGCTGTAGCAGTCTATACATCAACAGAAGCCACATTGCCACAAATCCCCTTTCTTAAAGCAGGCAAAACAAATTTCATCAAAAACACATTTTTCTTTTTTAAAAAATATTTTATTATTTTTATTTTATGTGTATGTGTGTATTGCCTGCATGTAGGTAAGTGCACCCATGTCATGCAGTGCCCACGGAGGACAGAAGAGGCTGTCAGATCCCCTGGAACTGGAGTTACAGACAGTTGTTAACTGCCATATGGGTGCTGGGATTCGAACCTGGGTCTTCTGCAAGAACAGTCAATGTTCTTAACCGCTGAGCCATTTCTCCAGCCCCTTTCTCTTTTTACCCTAAACACAGTTTCTTCTCAACCCAGTTTCCAGCCCTCCTCACCCAATGCTGTTGGCTAGTCCCAAAAATTGACAGCCACAGAGCCTTGTATTCAAGGATCAGGCTTACAACCCATCTGACATAGTTAGCTTTTGTCAACTTGACACAAACATAGACAAACCCAGGAAGAGGGAATGCCTGTGGGGCATTTTCTTGATTAATAAGTAATGTGGGGTCCACCCATCCATGGGCAGGTGGGCCTGTGCTATATAAGAAAGCTAGCTGAGGGACTGGACACTCATACACATAATATAAAAATAATAAATAGAATATTTTTTTAAAAGAAAGCTAGTTGAGTAAGCTAGGGAAACAAGCCAGTAAGCAGCATGTTCCATGGTCTCTGCTTCAGGTCCTGACTCCAGGTTTCTGCCTTGAGTTCCTGCCTTAGTTTCCGTAGATATACTATATACAGTATAAATGAAATAAATCCTTTCCCCCCCAAGTTGATTTTGATCAGCGTTTTATCACAGCAACAGAAACCAAACTAGAACACCATCCCTCTAAGACCTGCTGGCAATTTGTCTTATCCAGGACTTTCCCTGAAATCACTCACCACCAGGCCTGTTCCAGGTGCTTTGAATTCTGCTGCATGAAATATCAGCAGAGATTCCTCCTCTTCCTTGGGGTGTGCATTTGCTTTGACTCATCTCCCCAGACCCCTCTTCCCCTTTCTTAGAAGAATTCATCATCTCTGACTGCATGGCAGGAGCAGCACCCCATGAGGAGTTTGAACAGGCAGAGACCACTTTCTCCTTGATTATGTCTCCTTAACCCACCTGCCCATCTGGCTCCCACCTGCCTGAGCAGAGAACATACTCTTAAAAGCAAGCAAATGACATCCTGAGGCATAACTCTCTGCAGAGGGAGGCCCTGTGTTGGGAAGAAACAGTGCAGGGAAGATGGGACACCTGCCCTTGATGCTGTTGGGGAGGCCACTCCAGTACCAGATGAAGTTAGGCTGGAGGCTGCCAGCATGGCCCACCCCCTGCTCTCAGCTACAGCCTAGGAGTCTGGCAGGAAGTGAGGGAGGAGCTCCTGTTGTTAGGAAAGGAAAATCATAAGGCAGGGTGCTGGAGTGAGTACAGGCTGGCTACCGTTGGCTTATCTGATGAGGATGCATGTCTGGGATGGGGGCAATAAGACTTTAATCTGGTTTGGACTTAATGAGAAAAGCCAAGACAACACAGAGCCACACGCTTCTTCATTCAATATATGTCTTCTCTAAGTGAATTGCCAAAGCCTCAGATAATTGCCTTTGGCAAATAGCTAAATGCAGCAAGCCCACAACTCCATTCTTGCTCATTTGAGAGGATGGCTTTCCAACCTTTGGTGCTGCTATACCCAGTCCTGCTGAATGAGAATCAGACTCGGGAATGCAGTCGTGCTACAGGGAATAGCCGTTTCTTCAAAATAACTAGGATTGTTTGACAGGCAAATTGACAGCCCTCCACAGAGAGACCCATACTTCCATCTTTGTGGAGGGGGCAGAAGGTGGACAGCAGTGGTACAAGGGAGCTGTATTCAGGGTTCTAACCAAAAGAGAAGGATGCTTCTGGCAGCAGAAGCTTGCCACAGGCTGACAATGGGAGAACACCTCTGATTTTGTGATCCGCCATACTTTAAATCAGCTGTTGCTTCCTTTGGTTCAGCTGATCTAAACCCATGCAAATGTCTTCAGAAGATTTTTGAGATCTTCTCAGGCTGAGAATTCTTGCTGGTTTCTTCATGCCTGTGAGGCTCTACTCTAAAAAGAAGCCAAGTAATGTAGGAAGAGAAGCTGTAGAGAGTAATAATGATGGCAAGAGAGAGAATGGCCCACAGTAGACAGCACCCCTTCCTACCCAAGGGAGCATTCTTTAAAACCATAATGAGGCATGAAACCTAAATTACTGAAGAGCAGAGATTATTGAGTTCAACCTCTGACTCACAGGCTCTGATTGATCTCCTTCCAATCATACTGGTCATTCCTTTAATTCCATGTGGCCCTTTGGAGTTAGAAGTTCAGTCTTTCATTCATAAAAGCACCTCCTCAAGCCTGAGATGGACATAGCATAGCCTCACGTCATCCCTAATGTATTGAGTATGGTATTCCATCAGCACTAAACCAAAGACATGCCGTCTAGTACAGCAGAAACGCCTGCATCCTAGCCGCAGACATAATGCACTGTTACCAACTGAGCAGTATTTACCTCCAGGGACACATGGATTCTTCTAGAATTTAGTCCTTCTATCTATGTCTCCTTTCTGAAATCTCCCATGGAAACTTGTATAAACTTAATAAACCATAATCCTACCAAGGACCAATGAAAGATTTTTTCATTATAGTGGGCTGTCTCACACCCCTAGACAGTGTGTGGCAGGCAATTATTTCTACACAAGGTATAGTGTAGTAACTGATATTTGTACAAAGAAAAGAGATTTCCTTTTATGTTTTTTAACCAATGATTTATTTTTCCTTCTTACTGAAAGACTTTAGACAAGAATTCCATTAGACCCTCAAATATATATATATATGAAATGGGATGGGTGATTAAATGCTGTTATGATGTAGCTTTTCTGCTAAGTAAACTTATAGTGCTGAGCCTCAAGTGAAATAATTGTTTAATCAAGAATGTCTAGTCAATAGATTGACTCATTGGCTCCAAATCCATGTTCACATTGATGTTGCTATAAACTCCATTGTTTGCTCTATCCAGTGATTTTCCTATTTTAAACCATGAGAAAGAAGCCTGGAAAGGTAACTCAGTGGTAGAGTGCTTGCCTAGCATAAACAAAGCTGATTTGATCTCTAGCACCACACAAAGAGAGAGAGTGTGTGTGTCTCAGAGGGAGGGAGGGAGGGAGAGAGAGAGAGAGAGAGAGAGAGAGAGAGAGAGAGAGAGAGAGAGAGAGAGAAAGGATGGTCCCAAATAGGAATCCACCAGCTGTTGTTATTGTTGGAACATGAAATGTCTCCTAGTGCCTCGTGAGCTGAACACTTGATTCCAGCTGATGAGGCTTCTTTGAGAAGTGACAGAAGCTTTAGGGGGTAGAGGCTGGCTAGAGGAAGTAGGCACAGGGCATGCCTTTAAAGGCCCCTTCCTTTTGCTCTGCTTCCTGTCCACTGTGAGATGAGGACCTTCCTTCACCATGCACACCCACTCCCATGATCTTCTGCCCAAGCACATAGGGGTAAGAAACTGGGGACTGAGCCTTCTGAAAATGTGAGCCAAAATCTTTCCTCCTTTAAATTGATTCTGCCAGGTATTTGGTCACAGCAATGAAAAGTCTGACTGATACAAGTTTTAAATTCAAACACCCAGGTGTTGATCAGCAGACTTCCTTTTTTGTAGAGAGCCCTTCTTCTGTCTTTATCACCTAAGAAATTAAATGAATTATCCCAGAGAAATGAGCTTTCCCCAGAGGTCGCCCAATACTGCCAGTGAGACGCAATGTGTTCCAACTGTGTCACCAAAGAACTTCAGGAGCTGGACACATTGTCTGATTTTGTTTTAAAACACCAGGTTTGGGGACTGGAGAGATGGCTCTGAAGTTAGGAGTACTGGCTGCTCTTGCAGAGGGCCAGGGTTCGGTTCTCAGCACCCACATGATGGCTAACAACTATGTAACTCCAGTTCCAGGGGATCCGATGCCCTCTTCTGACCTCCGTGGGCATTGCATGACATGGTGCGCTTACATACATGCAGACAATACACTCATACACATAAAATAAAAATAATAAAATATTTTTAAAACACCAAGTTTTGACATGATTATAGGTCATGAAATAAATTGGATGATTGAAGCTAGTATTCTGTAAGACAACATAAAATAAAAAGTTCAAAACCAGATTATTTCAAGTAGCTGAGTAAGAATTGTTTTGCTAAACTGGTTTTAGATGTGAAGGTATATGTGTGTATGTTTGCGTGTATGTACACAGGTATGCATGTGTTGTATACTGTGTGCATGTGCATATGAATGCATGCATGTGTAACATACTGTGTGTATGGTGAGAATTTACAAGAGGTTACTGAAGTTACAGATTACCTGTACCCTGTCCAGGAGAAGTTTGCTGTCATGGGGAGAGGGTATTCTAAATAATTGCTCCAGTAAGTCATGTGTTTGAAATTAAGACAATAACCACAATAACAAAATAACCCAATAATCATATTAGGCAGTACATTTGGGTAGAGGAATCAGAAAGTATAAAGTAAAACTGAGTGTGTTGATTAGTGACAGAGTGATGCCTAGTATGTACAGGCTCAGGGTTCAATCCCCAGCACTTAGAAACCAACATGCAAACAAAACAAAAACTCTTAGATTGGCTATACACTTGTAAGTAAACTAGAGATGCACCTTCAGCCAATGAACAGGCAGCCTTTACAGGGGTAGCCCTGAAATGTCTGCTTAAGAGAAGCCCAGCAGGTGGCAATCTGAAAGGCAAGCTTAGGCCTAGGCCAGTGGTACAAGGGAAATGTACAAACCTGCTGGCCTCACCTGGGAACTAGGGAGAGGTTCCTGACATGTCACTTACTGGTCATACCTTAAGGGGGAAGCCATCGTGATGTGTGTTTGAGAGAGCATCACCATCAGGGTCAGATAGAGCAAGGTCCTCCTGCTAGCTCTGCCACTTACTAGCTTCTGGACAAAACATTTGAAACCTCTCTAAGCTCGGTTTCTTCATCTGTAAAATGGACATAGAAATGCCTATCTCATAAGGCTGCTCTGAAGGTAGAGTGGATGGAGTGTGGCAAGAAGCTTAGTGAGTGTTAATTCCCACCACCCACCTGACACTAGGAAACATTGAGAAGAGACCATCTCATTGGGAGAACTCTGTTCCTCCCTAGCATTACTTCATAGAACATTGCAGTGAGGGAAGGGAGTGCAGTGTGGGGGTCTGTAGCCAAAGGTGGGTGGAGCGGCCCTTCTGGGGTAGAGCTGCCATTTTCCTTGCAAAGAACCAGGTTGTGACAGTGACACCAGGAACTGCCACATCACCTGCAAATCCTAATTTTACCTTGGCACTAGACTGAGAGTCACTATCAGTGCAGCAACCCCAGCAGGGTTGACAAGGCCACTGACCTTTTCTTCTCCTTGAATTGTACTGTGGTCTCTAAGCAGCAAGGATACCGCTGACAACCATCCCCAGCTCTCTGGATAAGCAGTAACAGTGCCTTTCCTTCAGGTGGAAGACATCACTGCCAGCCACGAGGCTGCTCTGCTGGAGATGGAAAATAACCACACGGTTGCCATCGCGATCCTGCAGGATGACCATGATCACAAAGTCCAAGGTAGCTACTGGCCTGTGTGCAGCAAGCAGAGATGAGCAAGCAGAAGCCCTCTGGCTATAGAGCAAAGAGCCCTCTTTCCTTTCATTCCACGCTGCAGCCTTGGTGTTCATGCCTATGAAGAGAAGAACTAGAAATCCAGGCTCTAGGCAGGGCAGTGGTATGAAGCTTGCCTAGCATTCAGTAGGCCTTGGGTTCTATCCCCATCACCATGTTAAAAAAAAAAATGATTCCAAGTAATGATTTCTCTCCTCCAAAGAAATTATCTCAATGTCTAGTGAATTTTAGAATCCCCTCGAAAACTGTAACAAAAGGCAGACACCAGCCTTGGTTCTACCTGCAGTTGATCTGGATTGTGTGAGGGTGTTAAGATCTTTTATAGCTCTTTTGGTGGCTCTAAAGTGGAGTCAGACTTGAGGGCCAGTCTTCTAAGGTCAACTTGGCCTTTGTCTTGCATATGGCCTAACAAGACTAAGTGGGTTTGTGGTGCTCTTCTGGGCATGGCAACATTTCTGGAATGTTCTCTCCTTGCCTGAATTTTTGAGTCTACAGGTTCTTTTTGTCCACATTTGATAAATGAATTATCTTTGTGCTGTAATTTAAGTATGTCTTGTCCCTTCCCTACCTCCAGCATGGATTCATGTACTGGGGGTTTGTTCCCCATTGTGGTAGTATGAGAAGCGATGGAGCCTTTAAGAGGTAGAGCCCAGCAAGAGGTCCTTAGGTCATTAGGGATATACCCTTAGAAAAGATGTGGACATTGGTCTCTTTGGCTTCCTGTCTGTGATGTGGCCTCTCTCTAGCACATACTCTGTGTTAGCCAACTTTTTATCACTATCACAAAATACTGGGAACAATGTATAAAATAGGGATGAGGTGTATATTAGCTCAGTGTTTCAGAGATTCAGTCTGTGATTGATTGGCCACATTGCTTTGGGCTTTGGTGAGACAGTACATCACAGAAGTAGCAGGTAGTGGAACGAAGCTATTTATCAAGCAAAAGAGAATTGAGGAGGGCCAGAGTCCCCCAGGCCCTGTTGAAGGTAGACCCCCCCCCATGAGGTGCCTCTTTGTAATGGTCCTACCACCTCCTGATAGCACCATAAGCCCTTCCACAGATGGGCCTTTGAGGCACATTCACAATCCAACTATAGCGCACATAAGACCTTCACTCTAGCAAAGCTGATACCAGCCATACTTTTGTACCTCCAAAACCATGAGCCAAATAAACGTTTTTTTTTTCCTATAGAAAGACAGCCTGCTCATCAGATATATTATTAGAGTAACAATCAGACTAATCTGAAGATTGTATGCAAGTCATAACAATGTTACTAAGTCCAACTAAGATTTCTTAGTTTTACAGAAGAGTTTTAGTTTTCTATGCATTTACATCAATATATAAAATTTGTTTTGGATAGTTGTTGTTATTGTCATTTTCTAAAGACATCTTTATTTTTTATTTTTATTATGTGTATGTGTCTGTGTGTGTATTCCACATGTGTGGGTACTAGCAGAGGCCAGGAGAGGGTATGAGAGCCCCTAGAGTTACAGGGAGTTGTGAGCCACCTGATGTGGGTGCTGAGAACTGACTCCAGGTCTTGCAGAAGAACAAGAACTCTCTTAATTTTTGAGCCATATCTGCAACCCTGAACTTTGTTTTTAAATTTCCCCTCCCTTTATTTATTTTTTGCAACAAAACTCCCTGCACAGTATTTAATGTTCAGGCCATTGCATGCACCTGCCACGTCAAGTCCACACTGGAGGCAAGAGAGAACAGTGTCCTGAGAACTAGTCACCTCTATCCTTGATTGCAGAGCCCCGCCCTTGGCTGCTGTTGAAACCACCTACAGAGTTCAAAAGACAAAAGACAACTGATACGTAGATCCCAGCTCCAAGATTCCAATTTATTTGTTCTGGGACACATTCCAGACATTGGGGTTTTTCAAAACTCTCTACATGTTCTAATATGCAACAAAAGTTGAAAACCATTTTAGAGAACTGATAGGACAGAGTTTTGTGACCTTGAAATAAAGAAATACATAATGGGGACATGAATATTATGTAATAAGCAATGACATTAGCTGTTCTGTTGCCTTGGGGCATTGGGGTCCTCTGCCTTGCCTATCACTGCACTGCAGACAGCGAGTTCAGGAAAGGGACTGTGGATATACAGGATGCAGTAAGTCACCATGTTGCCTTTTGTTTCTGGATTTTCTCATAAATGGGCCTGGTAGATTTTTTTTTTCCCTAACAAATGAAGCTGTACTTAGACACCACATCCAAGGTCTTTTAATTATATATGATGGTCCTGGGTATATATAATAGGAGCTTAAAATTTATTATTATGGTTGGGGTGATGCACTCAGTGACCATCACACACAGAGGCAGGTGGACCAGAAGGCTACTTCATTTAATGACAATGAAATCAGCACAAACTTTGGTTTTTCCTAAATGTAAATTTCAGCTATGACAACTAGATTTCTTAGCAACCCTCCACCACCATTAATTAGAGATTTAGGCCAATGGAAACCACAAAGATTTTAATTGCAACTCATGGCAGCCAAATGGTAACTGTTGGTCTCTGGGATTCTCCTGTTCCAAGCACAGGATCTGGGCTGATTAATGAGACCATCCTTCCTTGTAGTTATAACACAAAAACAAATTGTTGGTATAGGCAGAATGCGACTGGCTTCACCCAGGTGATAAGACTCTTCCTATCCGGAGGAAAACAAAATCCATTTGCCGAATACCTCCTATGTCACGTTGTTCTCTCTAACCTGCAAATTATTGCTGGGCTGGTGCTCTTCACAGAGCAGAATTATTCCTTCCTTACTGACACAGCACTGGTCCCGTCCACACTGTGAACACACCATCAAGCACAGCTGGCAAGATGTCTGTTCCAGTTCTTCCCTGCTTGAAAATCTCCTTCGTTAGCCCCAGGTGGATGCTTTGAAGTGGGAAGGGCAAATCCTGGGGGCAGAAGACAATCACTGTTACCCACACTGTTGTTTCACTGTTAGGAAAGGGGAGCAAATTAGTGGGTCCTTTGTGCCAAGGCCCCCTGATGAGGATCTTTTAGGTGCAGAAGTGTATATGCACATGTGCAGCTTCCCTCCCTTTTGTTCTTTCCCCTCTTCTCTCCCTTCCCCTGCTCCCTTTTTTCTTTCTCTCCCTCTCATACATCCAATCTGATAATCACACTCAGTTTCAGACTGTCAGAGGAGACCTTGAATCTGCTGTAAATAGCAATTATTTACCTAAAGTCACTAGTCTGCTAAAACAACCTTGTTTTATGGTTTTCAAAAGAAAGACCCAGTCAGCAATTTGATCTTTTCTCTCCAGAACTGATATCTACCCATGAACTTGAAAAGAAAGAATTGGAAGAAAACTTTGAAAAACTGCGGCTCTCATTACAGGTTAGTATTTCCTTCACTTTCCTAACCAGTGTTAGAATGACAACAGCATTATTCTCACTCTCAAACTCTATCTGGAACCTGCTATGTACTGGAGTCTAAGCTAAGTACTGGAACACAGGTGAGGAAGACAGTCCCTGTCCTTTAGACTTCTGTTCTGGCTTTAGCTGTGGCAAAAAGACAACTGAAAGCATCAGAAAGTAACTCACGCTTGTACCTAATGAGCAGTACAGTTAGTGGGCACTGACAACGTTCAGAGGAATTACCTGGCACTTGCTGTGTCAAAGATACCTGAACAGTAACTGAAAAGGGAGGACAGTGGAAGGGAACCTTCTAGACAAGGGGAATGGTGTAAGTAGAGCTGTAAAGGTCAGAACTAACAGATCATACTCTCAGAATTTTAAAAGGGCCTTAGGTTACCCGGAGGTGGGCATGATAAAACTCACCCTTTCTGCCCCTCATGGCCACCTGGGGAAAATGTTGGTCTCTGATGCTAACAGAGCTGCCTGGCTTCCTCCCGGTCTCTAAGGGGAGAATGTGGAGTCTCCTGGTTTCATGCATCTTCCTCCTGCCTTCCAGAGATCTGCCAGCTGCCTTTAAGAAAGGTCAGTGGCAGCCCTCAGCCCTAGCAGGAGCTGACTAAAAAGCAGAGGTGGTGGGGTGGCCCAGCCATGTTCCCAGGTAGACAAATTATGACTAGAGAGAAAATGACTTTTCAGCTATCAGGGTCGCTCATGTCTAGAAATTGGGAAGATGATTCCCATGATTGTAACATGTATGTAAGAATCTTGCTTTTTTGATGACAGCTTGCTTTCCTCAGGCAGTGTCTGCCACACTGAGCCTGCCCCACAAGGAAAGAATACAGAGTCACAGTGAGGAGAACACTGTGTGGAAAATGTGTAGGCTGGGGCATAGCTTAGCAGCAGAATGCTTGCCATGCGTGTCACTGAGTCCGCTCTGCCCATGATACCCAGGGGCTATGGAATTCTGCATGTTTTAAAAAAATTAATTTTTGCCTGCATGTATATAAGTCCACTCAGGTGTGCAATGCCTGTGGAGGTCAGAAGAGTGAGTCAGATCCCCTAGAAATGGATTACTGATAACTGGCACTATGTAGATGCTGGCAACTGAATCCTGGTCCTCTACAAGAGCAACCAGTGCTCTTAACTGCTGAGCCATCTCCAACCAATTCTTTGTATTTTGACTGTAGTGCTCCACTCAAAAGAAACTGAGCTAGAGATTGGTGTGGGGTAGGGGGGAGTGGGATAGAGTCGCTAACGTCCTTGTGCTACCGGCAGCTAGAGAAACTGCTAGTTTGAGAGTTGATCTTTGAGTTCAAATCCCCACTGTATCTGTTCTTGCTAGCTTTGCGATCCTAGCCGCTGTCAGCCTCAGTGATTCACCTATGAAATGGAGATGATAACAGTGCCTTTCTCAAGGTCTGAGCAGATGAAGGAATTAATGTGTAACAGTTAAATAGCCTGGCCTGGCTCCCGTGCTGAGCTCTGAGAAACTGATATCACATTAGCTCCAGGTGGTACCGAATTTGTTATTAGCATGCCTTTTATTGACTTCCGACTGGCCCTTGCTGGGTCACACCACCAGCCCGACATAAATAGTAGCCAACGCAGGTTGCAAATCACTCTGTCCTGTGACTGCCACGGAACAATTCTGTCCCTTCAGGTCTGTTCAGAATAGTGAACAAGGCAGAAAAATCACAATTCGATGGTTTAGATCCATCCTGGATGGTAATTGTTTAATGAGTTCAGTATTGCTTTGCTTTGTAGTGGTGGAAAAGAAGCTTAAAAGAAATGCTTTCTTGGGTAATGCCCACGAGGTTTAATGTGGGAGTCAGGTAGCAACACAGACATTTTATAGTCTGTTCTGAAAGCTAGGGCAGTGGTGTGGTAGCCTTGTGCTCGGCCCCAGGCAGACATTTCCATGCATCAGCTCATGTGAGCACAAACTCCCACCAACAGTTATATTGCAGTCATATACCAACATTTGCATTTAATGACTCCGCGGGGACTTTTTTTTCTTAAAAATGAGAGGGAAGTAACTGGAAGAAAGGAGAGAGAGAGAGAAAGGAACCTTTCCAGGGAGGTTTGAAAACTGAAGCTGGTTGCCATGGTGAATAAAGGAAGCAGCCCAGGGAACTGGCACACACTACAGTTCTACCCTGGAGAGTCACAATATTTGTGACTGCTCTTTTGACCACTGGGCTAAAGCTATTTCTCTTTCCAGAAGGGTTCATGAGAACACCTGGTCCCTGTGTTTTAACATTGCAGAAATGGAGCCATTGGGTGAACTTCTAGAATCCTCATTGAGTGAGCTATGAATGGAAGAGGCTCCTTAGTCAAGGTCACTGACAAATACCCTTCGCTTGCTGTGATGATATTGCCATGGCTAAGGTTGAGTGGGAGGGCCTCTGCAGCCACATTTGCTCTTTGAGCTAAAAAATAATTCCGTGTCCCACAGGCTTCATTCCTTCAGCACACACAGTCAGCTGCCCAGGCTGGCATGGCCTGGGGGTGGCGATGCTTGTCTGATGAGGAGAGACAGAGGATGAGTCTAGGTTGCTTCTCTCATAAAGCAGCCCACCCTTGAAGTCAGAAGGATCAGTTGGGGGCCAGCAGTAAGACTGGGATGAGAGAGGCCTGGCAGAGGAAGGTTATGCCCAAAAGGGCATGGGGGATAGGATTCCAGAACCCAAACCAGCTTTGACACTGTGCTAAGGAGTATATACTTCTCCCTGAGGACAGTGAGGTACATATAGGCAGCAGGGCAAGAGGTTAAGGTTTATGCATTAGAAAGATGAGTGTGACTGTGGCCTGTAAGCAATAAGAGATGATGTAGTGCTGAGTCCAGGATGGAGCCCACAGAGGGGCCTGAGATGGTGGGGTGCCATCCAGGGAGGTATCCAGGGACATGAAGAAGGCACGCTTGGCAGGACTTCACAGATCAGTAGCGTGGGGTAGTTGAAGAGCAGAAGAAGATGTCCAGAATGGGTGCAGGTTTCTGGCTGAAGCTCTACAAGTAGGAAGGGTGCTTCTTTATGGGGGGTTAACTGTGGCTCTTCTGAAGTCAGGACCTGATGCCCAGGGCCAGTTTTTTCTCTCTGCTCTCTGAATCTGCAAGATCACACATTAAATGACCCCTGTTCACCAGCATTGAACCCCTCTATGTCAGTGTTTTTGTGTCTTTTCTGGGCAAGAGACTAGAAGGAGGCAGCCAGAGTTGTTAGCTGCCCTCTCCCTCCATCATAGGCCTCCCATGAACTCTTTTGCTGAGCCCCATGGTAAGGTAATCACCTCTGTCATCCCAGCTATCCAAATCCCAGTGTTTACTCCACAGTGGTCCACACTGGACATCTCCTGTTGTTACTTGCAGGACCAGGTGGACACACTGACCTTCCAAAGCCAGTCTCTGCGGGACCGAGCACGGCGCTTCGAGGAAGCTTTAAGGAAAACCACGGAGGAGCAGCTGGAGGTAGGCATAGCTGCCTAGGCAGCCCAGTACATGGGGCTGTAAGCTGGGCATCCTCTGAAGTCTTACCCAAGGATGAGGCCTCTGTGCTGATATGCTGCTACAGTGATGGCTGGTCCCCTACATCTTTGGGATGTTTATACAGTGTTTGTCAGTACCGCTCCTCAAAACAGCCCAACTCCCACAGCACTCCCCAGATAGGTTCCTTGGGTGCCTATAATATGCACAGTCTGTAAACTCTACTCTGGCCGGGGCCAGCCCTGCACCTCACTCCCCTAATTGTGCCTTAGGCTGGCAGAAGGCAGTGCCAGCTAAGATGTGAGTTAAAAGATTGAAGAAAAAATTTTCCCAGAACACCTGAAAAACCTCCTCCTACCTAATGTAGTATTGTAGATTAAGTACATAGCACCCAGTTAAATTTGAATTGCAGACAAGGTGAAGTTTTCAGGGTGAATATCTTCCATTGAAACATTACCCTAATTTTTCCCCTGTATACTAGACAAGTCCTCTACCACCAAGCTAAATTCCTAACTTTCCTCCTACATTTCATTTGGAGACAGAGTCTCATAAAATTGCCTAGGCTGTTTTTGAACTTGTGATCCTCCTGCCTCAGCCCCTTAAGTAGCTGGGATTACAGGCCTAAAGTGCCACATCTAGCTTACTTATTTTTTTTTCTTTTTTCTTTTTTTCTTTCTTTTTTTTTTTGTCTTTTTGAGATAGGGTCTCTCTGTATCCCAGCTGGCCTGGAACTTATTATGTAGCTGACCTTGAACTCACAGAGATCTGCCTGCCTCTGTCTCCTGAGTGCTGGGATTAAAGGTGTGCATCACCATGCCTGGCTTAGCTTTCATTTTTAAATATTATCTGAAATTCAAATTTAACTATACCTTTTAAAAAAAAAAGATATATTTATATTTTATATGTATGAGTAAATTGTCTGTATGTATATATATGCACCACAAGCATGCAGTGCCCACAGAGGCCAGAAGAGGGCATTGGATCCCTTGGAACTGGAGCTATGACTGATTATAAGTTGCCACATGGGTGCTGGGAACTGAACCCAGGTCCTCTGGAAGAGCAGGAAAGGCTCTTAACTGCTGAGCCATCTCTGCAGCCCCATGTCTGCCTTTTTACTCCTTATATCCACCAGCCCTACTTTAGTGTTTCAGTAAGCCTTTCTCTTAAAAGTGTTTACTGCATTTTAAACCACTTTGCTCTTTTTGTATGTATGGGTGTGTGGGGCTTCCCCACCTGCTCAGGTGGGACACATGAGATCCCAGTGCCCTATAAATAAGCTGTCTGGATGTTAAAGCCTGTGTTATTCCAGGAGTTTCCCTCAGAGGTGCTGACAGCCTGCTCCCTCACTGGTGCTGCAGCCACACACTGGGGTGTGTGACAGAGCCATGCTGAGCTGGGTTTATAGCACTGAGTCACCCTGGGTTGTGCCAGAAACCTGGCAAAAGTCCCATCACTCTGTGCCCTTGTAGATTGCGCTGGCTCCTTATCAGCATCTGGAAGAAGACATGAAGAGTCTGAAGCAGGTGTTAGAGATGAAGAATCAGCAAATTCACCAGCAAGAAAAGAAGATTATCGAGCTGGAAAAGCTGGTGAGTTGGCCTGCTTGCTCGGCTGAGTGACCACTGTGACTTTCCCCTGTCCTCACTGATGACAGTGTGCAGTGAGGCATGTCCCTTCCTTGCCTGCTGCTCACAGGTGAACAGAAAATTCACAGCTGAGTCCAGAGGCTCTTCTCACAAAGCCAGGACTTCGGACAAGGAGTCTCAGTGGCCTCTAGTACCTAGCTGCCTTTGCTTTGCTCCAGTTTTTCTGGGGAGTGCCATGTCCCTCCCCCATCCTGAAGGATATGCAGTTAGCCAACAGCAGGGACTGTCCATCACTGCTGTGCACCAGGCAAAAGCATAGTCCTTTCACTCTAATAGCGCACCTGGGTAGTGGGTGCTTCTAGTAGCACAAGATAGAGACCTAGGAAGAAGACATTGTCACCTACCCAGTGAGTGACTGTGGCTAGGAGGCAACCCTGCCAGGGTTTTCAAAACCCCAGAGGGCAGAAGGGGCAGGAGGGTGTTCTGGAACTCCAGGCATGGGGGCCTCACCCTTATGACCCAATCTCTTCCCAAAGACCACATTCCAAACGCCATCTCCTGGGGGGTTAGATTTCAACATACCTGTTTTGGAGGGATGGGAACAATCAGTTCATAGCAAAGAGCTTGCTCTCATTGACACTTCATCTTGGTCCTCTGGAGATTCCTGAAAACTAGCCCAGGGCACTCCTAGAAAAACAGAACAGTGCTTACCCCCTCTAAGGCTCAAATATGGGCTAGTATCCCTGGAAGGATCCCAACAGTGACCAGGGTAGATACTTGCTTCTTCTTGAAGAGACCATCTTCAAGAGATATGTATCTCTCTTTCTTATGCATACATATACACACAGCATATTTTTATAATTTACTTATTTTATGTGTATGAGTGTTTGGCCTACATGTATGTAAGTGTACCTTGTGCACACAATACCCCTGGAGGTCAGAAAAGGGCATCAGATTCCCTGGAATTGGAGTTACTGATTGTTGTTAACAGCCATGTGGTCCTGGGAACCAAACTCAGGTCCTCTGCAAGAGCAGCCACTGTCCTTAACCACTGAGGCATCTCTTCAGCACATTTTGTATTTTTTGTACAAGTATTCTATAACCTACTTCTAAGGAACAAGTCAGTTGTGTTTGTTTTTTTGTCCTTTTTAAACTAGGGATTTGCTATGTAGCCCATGCTGATCTGGAACTTGTGATCCTCCTGCCTCTGCCATCTGAGTGCTAGGACTGTAGGTGTATATCACCACACCCATGTTAAGAGTTAATAATTGATCACCTGTTTTCCATTTGCCTCTGGAACATCCATCCAGAAGCTGACCCAGAAGCACCTGTTGCATTTGGTTCATATGTCCCTCTCTGTCAAGGACTCACTCTTTCAGTAGAGTGAAAGCAGGTAGCTTCACCACGAGTGCATAGCAGGTAGCAGGAAGACTGTGGTTTGTCTGTTAGCAGTGTGCTGAGTGATGGGGGGCACGTGGCTCATTCCAACAGCCCAACACCTGACATGGTCCACAGAGAATGCAGCCTGACTAGGGTAATACTAAAGGCACCCAAATACCCACCTTCCCCTTGTGACTAGGCTGTCCACATCAGGTCACTGAGGAGCCTCTGGGTCTATCTGCTATGTTTAGTCATATTCAGGCCTTGCTGCATGCCTGCATAACATTCTATCCTGGGAATCTTCCCAGGCAAAAGAATCTGTTGCAAATTTCCTGCTTCCTGGGAACAAAGATGAAGGCCAGGTAAGGTGCCCTGCCCCAGGCCTTGGCAAGGATTCCCAAACCCTATTCGTGGGCAAGTGGCAGTTTTCTTTCTTTAAAGATTAACTACATGAACAATGTCTTACATCCTTTCACAAAACAATTCAGGCACAGTGGCTCACCCCAGAAATTGCAGCTGAGGCAGGAAGATTGCCCCATGTTCCAGACCAGCCTGAGTTACATAGTGAGTTCCAAGCCACATGGGCTACAGAGTAATATCCTACTTCAAAAAACAACAACATAAACCCTTCTAAACTCATTAGAATGGAAGTGTACTTCAGCTAGATCTCACAGTGACAGAGAAAATAGCACAGATCAGGCCTTGCTGATAATGTGCCAAAGCTGCTCTTATCTTTTACTTTTTAGATTTACTTATTTTCATGTTATGGGTATGTGTGTTTTGCTTGCATGTTTGTAAGTACACCACATGTATGCAATGCCTGCAGAGACCAGAAGAGGGCATTGGATTCCCCCAGAACCAGAGTTACAGGCAGTTGTTACTCATCATGTGGGTGCTGAGAATTGAATCTGGGTCCTCCGCAAGAGCAACCAGTACTCTTAACCACTGAGCCATCTCTCCAGCTCCTGTGGTTTTAAAATTAACCTTAGCTACTGTATTTGCAAAGCAAAGAAGAGCCCTTCAACTTCTAGGCTTCTTTGCTTCATGTTCCTAGCGTTAAAGGAAAAAGTCTCTATAGTACTGGCCCCTGTATTCCTCTATTAATTCTGAAGAGTTGGGAAAGTCAGAGTGTGCACAACTGGCCAAGGACACTGATGCACTGCAGCTGACCACAGGAGCCACTGGTCCAATAAGATCCTGATGGTGTCCTCAGCTTGTCTCTGATCATGCCAGTGACCCAGAACACTCACTCAAAGAACAAATTTACACAGGAACTCAGTGCATACAGACACTCACGCATACATATGCACAAAACAAAACCTATGCCTAAAACATATATCACAGTGCTGCACACTGGCATTTTCTGTTCTATTTTTCTAAAAACAAAATGTTCATGTCCTTTGTTCCTGTCACCCGACTTTCCAACCCACGGGTGCATTGTGGACAAGCAGTTTACAAAATGCTGTTCCTGATAATCCTCCAAAGTGCAGAAGCCAGGGGCACTGGCTTGCTGCTGGCCTGTGACCTGACTGAGAATCTCTTAAATATTGTGCCTTTCATAGGTGGAAAAGAACATTATCTTGGAAGAAAAGATACAAGTGCTCCAACAGCAGAATGAAGACCTGAAAGCAAGGATTGACCAGAACACAGTTGTCACCAGGTGGGTGGACCTGACTTCTCCTTGTGTGTCTACCTCACGGTGGCATTGTCCTTGAGCTTCTGCAGTTCCCAGTGTCCAGCCTGCCTCCCTATGAGATGCTTCCCCAAATAATCTCCCGGTGTCTCTCACATGACCAGAAGAAAAGCACATAGCTGTGATCCCTTAGTGCACATCTCCACCGTGTATCAGTACCCCACTTCCCAGGAGTACAGACCTCATGTGTGGACAGCACCAACCCCCCCACCACCACTCCCCAACTCCTGACAACAGATGTAGGGATTTGAAAAGAAGCAGCAGTGGACTGTTCTCGGGCAGATGAGAAGCACTGCTAGGTGACAACCTCAGGGTTCCTAAAGCCAGTTCGTTCCCTCTCAGTTCAGCTTGTCCCTACAGGATCTGCTCCTGACAACAGATGTAGGGATTTGAAAAGAAGCAGCAGTGGACTGTTCTCAGGCAGATGAGAAGCACTGCTAGGTGACAACCTCAGGGTTCCAGAAGCCAGTTTGTTCCCTCTCAGTTCAGCTTGTCCCTACAGGATCTACTCTGAGGAGCCCTCCTTCCATGGTAGGATGAGGAGTCCCCGCCCACCAGCTCAGAGCCGGGTGAAAGCAGGGTTCTGGCTTCCTTGGTCAGCTGCAGGTTATTTCATCCAGTAAAGCTAAGTCATCCTAGTGAGATCCAGGCCTGAACCCTTTCCTTGGTCTACTAGACCAGGCCCCTCAGTGCAACCATGGTGTGTCATCCTGTGCATGCACACACAGGCTCACATGCACATGCTCATATGCATGCACTCATATATGCTCACACACATGTACATTCATATTTACATGCTTATATACTGCTTACACTCCTCATTCTCACACCCAAGTATTCACATATGTATGCACGCATGACAGTCATTGCCTCTTTCCCCGATTCTCTGGTACCAGTATTCTGTTCCCACCTCAGAGGCACACAGGAAACACCACACTGGGGTAGCAGGCCCCATCATCCCAGCGCCGTGGGCCCCCAGGTCTGTGAGTAGACAGTTTCAGCAGCCGCCTTTCAGATGCAGCCAGAGAATGGGTGGACATGTCTGAATGGCACCAGACTCCTGGAATCTGCAAGGTGCCTCCTCAGAGAGTGATTTTCTGGTCTTCAGTCCATCCAGCTATAAAGTGCATTTATTTTTACTGTTAGTTCCTCAGAGATGCTATCATTTTAAAATACATGCAACAAAGCCAGCAACCTAAGCATCATGACAGACCACAAAAAAAGCTTTTTCTTCATCCTTTATCAGTAAACATTAACCAAGCATCTATTTGCTGGGTGGCATGCTAAATGTCAACGGACAACTTACAGAGCCTTAGCCCTGTCCTCCAGGGCTTGTGTTCCAGAGGCAGATAGGTGAACAAGTCAGCTTCTACAGCAGGGCTAATGACTTCTGTCATGGAAGCATGTACCTGGGGCAAGAGGTAATGGGAAAACATTCCTGGCTATCTGGCAGCCATCTCTCCCTTGATCACAGACATGGTTCCATAAGGCAGCCTTTCCTATGGGCCTTTAGTAGCACACCCACACTACCTACTACTTCCCTCCTTTCCACTCCAGCCTCCAGCTTTTGCCCTGTGCACAAACAACTAGCACCTCCCCTGACCCAGCAGGGGCCCGTGAGCTGTGAGGTGTTGTCTCTGCCCTATACCCATCAAGCCTGATCTCAAGTGTTATAGCAGACTTACTGCCTGACTGTCATTCTCCCCCATGCAGACAGCTGTCAGAGGAAAATGCCAATCTCCAGGAATATGTGGAGAAAGAAACCCAGGAAAAGAAGAGATTGAGCCGAACCAATGAAGAACTACTTTGGAAACTCCAAACTGGGGACCCAACGAGCCCAATTAAACTCTCCCCTACATCCCCGGTTTACCGAAGCTCTTCCTCTGGACCATCCTCTCCAGCCAGAGTCAGCACCATGCCTAGATGATATCACCCTGCCACTCACAGGAGTGCAGGCTTCTGTCCACCCGAGGGAGTGCTGGCCAGGTGCTGGCAGCCACCCTGCGCGCATGCTCAGTAGCTGCATAATGCATCCTAGGCAGCGTCCTTTCTGACCCCATGTAAGACTGTCCTGGTATTGATGCTTCGGAAGGTGTAAACTGTAGGGTCTGATGTCCAAAAATGTTTTACCATAGTGAGAGCCGAAAGAAAGACAACTCCAATTGTTCTTGAGTGATGAACTTTCACTGCAGAATTTCAGGTTAGTTACAAACAGCTCAGTTTTGAATACATGGAATACTTGTGTGCTGCACGATACGTGTGTATATTCAGATATTTGTATGCACACGTGGTGATCCTGAATTGCATTTTTTATAACATGATGTGCTGACATATTTTAGTGACGGTCAGCAGTTTTCTAACTTGTGCCTAAGAATTATTGGGAAATGAAAATGTGTTTCTATCTAGTTTCCCAGGAATATTTCTACCCAAAATAGAAAAAGGAAAAAAAAAAAAAAGATAGAAGAAGCGCCTTTCAGTCTGCCACCGCGTGGTACTGTTTAACATAAACACCAGCGATTTGTAAATGGTAACTGTCTTTGGAGCAATTAGCCTTTTAGTCCACATGAGGTGGGGGTCGCTGTTACTCCACTGGCAGATTTTAATTATGAATCCTCCTGTCTTGAGTGGATGAATGGCAGCGGGGAAACTCCACGAGATCAAGCAGTTTGCCGATGTTTCTCATCATAGCAATTCATCTATAGCCTCGTAAACACAAGTTTTACTTTTCTCCTAAATGGCGTCTTGGAATCCATCACTAAGTTCTTATTGCATCCTCAGGAAAACATGGAGGAGTGTGAGGGTGAGGATGAACTTGGAGAAGACCAAGATGATTGATGTTCTCTCCTCCTGAAGGAACACTGCTGCTAGGGGCCATGTTTGACCAGGCAGAGGAAGGACATGTCCTCCATCACTGCATTTCATAGGCAACCCCCCTTCAGTTTGGTTCTGTGACTCAACCCCATCCCCACACATTGAGTTGGCTCAGGGGTTCTAGTTGGGGCTTCCAGAAAACCAACCTGTCTGAGGAAATCAGCTCTAGAGGTGCTAGATCATATCCTTTCTTCTGATCACCCAGTGCTGCACCTGGCAGTGGCCCCATCCATCTTAGCCCCAGAGGTTCTCCCAAACAGAGCCCAATGAAACAACTAGCCAGCAGCCACCAGCTGCTGGACTGGCCTTTGTCTCTGAGATGGTAGAATTAGAAAATGAAAGTTATTCATGTAGTGCTGTGGAAGATTAGGAGCATGATTCACAAACAGAAGTAGTTTTAACAGTTGATATGGTGGTGATAATGATGCCTTTGTTTCCTGTATGTGACAAAGACCCTTCACTTTCCAAGCATGGCCCTGTCTTTGAGCACGCCCAAGACAAGAAGAGCCATTGAGCCAGGAAGAAACAGTCCATGGAATGGATGGGGTCAGCTTGTCTAAGGACACACACAGACACAGACACAGACACACACGGCTGACACAGAGGCAGACGTGGTCTGTGTCCCTCTCATGGCTTAAAGTCAGGCTTCCTGGCCTCAGATGGTGCATCTTATAGCCAACCTCTATGGGTCTTGCCCATTCTAGGGACATACACAGTAGACACACATTGAAGAAACAGATCTTTTCCCTTTTGTGGCTGCGCATGATACTGTGATACTGAGTTGGGCATTCCATTAGAGTAGACCATGCCACACCAACTCAGCACACAATTATTTATTCTTTTAGCAGGCCCAACTTGCAGGCATAAGTTTGGTGGCAGCATAGATCTCCAGATTAGGACCTGCCTCTGCAACCGTACCTGCTAAAGGCAGGTATGCAGCAATATAGACTTTGGTGTGATGATAGAATGTGGTACAGTATGTTAGGCTGTTGTGGTCAAAGTTATAGCAATGTTAGAACTAACTACATACCCTCATTAAGTGAACTAGAGCTTTGCCCTAACCAGCCTTGACCTTGGACACTTGAACAAATTTCCCCATGGCCCTGGCTTCGTTTCTCCATCACAGACATCCATCACGTATGGCGCCCCACTTGAATTGTCACTGCTCCTGAGATCCAGGTGGCCAGAGCTGCTGTGCCTCTTCTATGATCCTTCTGCCCCCATGCCGCTATGATCTGGACCTCTCAGCATGGAAATCTGCCTCTGTCTGCCTCCCCAGGCTGGGACACTGCACCTGCTGCAGACAGACTCACTAAACAGTGCCAGGCTCTTCATGGCATCCAGAGTTCCCCCTGATTTGCTCCTACCCACTTGCCAAAGGCTGGGATGAGGTCCTGGCAATGTCAGGATGGGTTGGGGCTCGGGGTCTGGTACTCTGGGATTAGTTGGAGAGGGTCACAGTGTTCCTGCTCCTCCAGTTTCGGTGTTGCATTTTTGTGTTGAACTCTAAAGCCTATTAAAATGAACTTGAGGGGCTCTCTGTGATAACCACATGATGTAACTGGAAAACGATCTTTCTGGCTAGAGGTGCCAGGCAAGGAGGCAAAGGTGGTTTGCATACCCTTTTCTATATGTGCCAGGATCAACTGATTGTCACCAAGAGGTCTAGTGATTCTGCTGCTCTCAGGCTCAGTAGGTCCAAGGCCCTGCCTCCACTCTTTCACCCTGGGGTCTTCAACCCATGACCTGGACTTGGGCAGCTCTGTGGCTGTACTTTACCCAGCTGATGGGGTGCCGGAGGGGTTAGAAAGGAGACACAAGAGTGAGTGCAACCCCCTTGCTGTACACTTTGGATAAATTCAGGCCTGGAGAAGCAGATGTTGCCAAGTCCTGTCCACTTGTATTTGTTACTCCTCTCATGGGACATCTTGAAGTGGGGTCCACACCGATGGGGAGAGGGACACAGGATGCTGGCAATCCCTCTGACTTTCTCTGGAACACCCCAAGTATAGTCAGGTTACATGCTTACTCCTCCCTTCAATCTGGCCACTCTTCCCTCTCAAGCAGCCTCATTGTGGGTTATGGACAGTTTGTCCAACCCAACCTTACCTTAGAGTATCCCACAAGTGCCTGGCATTGCTTGGGGCCACAAGGGAGACCCCCGTTTGCCACTTCCTTGGGTTCATTTTGTGGAGTGTGTGGGAATGGCAAGGTGGTGGGAGTCTCTTGTGAACAATAGCTGAAATGCCCCTGGGTGGAGGATACACTGCAGACCACTTCCTAGCCTCATAGGGAAGCTGCCAGGATCTCCTGCAGATCATTCATGCTGCCCAGATTACTGATCAGTACCTACTGATACATGACTGGTCAACATAGCCCAATCTGTTAGTTTCTTCTAGGATGTCTTGAGTGTCCTCCTTTCTAGTAGCTACCATCCATTGTCCTTGTCCCCACCCTGTGTGGTGAACAAGATTGATGTCAGCACCTCTGCTTATAAAGGAGTTGGATAGTGACTCATGCCCTGGCATGTGCAGGAAATGAGATTAGCCCCAGCTCTCTCGTGGCTGTGGAGAACTGTGTTCCCTCCATGGTGGATCCATAGTGGAAAGAGGGAACTTGAACTCCATTCCTTTGTCACCGTATGTGCACTAAGGAGCCTTGAAGGTCCCAGCTGTCCTGTGTGGGAGATTTGTATCCTCTCTAGAAGGAACCCAGGTATTGAATGGTGCCCTACCTATGGTTAGAGGAAAGTCATTCTCAAAGCAGGTGCTGTATCAATGCAGGGCATCAGCAAACAACTCTGTGCTCTCTTGCAACTCCCTTTGTTCTCATGCATGGTGATCAGCCAGTCCGAGGAGCCTACCCACTCCAGGGTCTGCATCAAATGCACACATGCACATGCACACAATGCTTTTGCCACAACTAAAGACTGAAATGATTCTTCCATGAAGATGGGAACTGGTTCACTTACATTGTTTCTTTTTAAAGCCAGCTTTTCTCAGACCTCATGCCCCAAACCTCATAAAAACACTGAAAGGCACCTGTTGTTTCTAAACATGGAACTGTTCATTCTCGTCCTGGCATGGAGATGCCACTGCTTGCTTGGCTCACCCCCTATGGATGCATTTCCAGTGCCAGCACAGTGAGCAAGCTCTTTGGCTCTGATTTCCCGTGTGTGCGACCCTCTGGGAAGCCCCACTTCCTTTCCTCTCTGGCACACTCAGTGGACACCTGAACACGCCTGCTGATTTGTCTTGCACCTAGATGAATGGGGCGAGCACACTTTATTCCCCCATCCCTTGTGCTGGTAGAACATGCTGTCATGGCATTGAATTTCAGCACATCAGCACACAGCTGCTGCCTGTTCCCTACTCAGTCTTCAGTCCCGTGGGATTAGGTGCTGGCTTCATTGAGATGCTAGAGGTTTGCAGCTGTTCTTCTCATTAACAAAGGTACTACCTGCTTTACCACGAAGCCTTTTTCTTACATTGCTCTATTTATAGCTTGGTGGATAAGCTTAAGTCAGTGGAATTAAAGGGTTCCCTTTGAGAGGGGGCTGACAGGCTTTGTAAGTTGCTTCCAGCCCTCTCCACTGCAGCCCCATATTCTGCCCAGGACTGTGTAGTGACTGATAGATTTGAAAGGCAGGGCAGCTGTCTGGGCTTTGAGGCCATAGAGATTCATCAGTTCCTTGAATGCTGAGTCATATGGGGAAAGAGCTGACTCACCAGAAGCATTTCATAGTCAAACAGGGTTGGAGGAAGTTTGATGAGGACCCCCTCAGGATTCCAGAATGGCATGGGTTTTCTGAAAACTGCTGAAAAACTTTGAGCTGCCTTTTTAGGCTACCAGTGTACTACTCCATTATGGCCACTAGATGGCACTGGGTTGCTACAGGAACCAGGGTCCTGTAGCACGTGGCCCAATTTGTGCTAAAACCAGAGGCGGTCTCCTTATGACAGACATGCCCTGTGCCTGTTTTGCAATTTGGGACACACAGGGCACTCTCTTAGAAACTTTACTAAGTCAACTCATTTCGTGAGACAGGAGATGTTTCTCACCTCCCTTCTCACCTCCCTTTAAGTTGTAGCCAACAGTAACTGGGCCATGGAAGAGGTGCCCTGTTCCCTGACACTGCACATCCTTGCTTACATACTGCCCAAGTTCAGGGTCTGCCTCCCTCAACAGTCAAAGAACATGAGATGTGTGAAGCATACCCTTATAGATACCTGTCACCTACTTCTGTTCTAGAACATGCCAAGTGCCAGGAAGAGGGCAGCCCCCTGGGTGTCTGCCCATGGGGTGTCTGCCTCCACCACAATCCCCCCTGGGAGAACACAAAGATCAAAGCTTATCTTCCAGCCTCATTCTTGTGAATCACTGTTCTCAGTGTTTGGCTTGAAGGTCCACTTAGCTAAATTTGTCTCTGGTGCAACAAAAAAAATTGTTTCCTTCCCTCGTACTGGGGAATGAGGTCAGTCGTCCTTTGGAGAGCTACAAATCCTGTTCTCAGCCTCTGTGTTCTGCATACAACCAGTTCCCCACAAGATGGTGTATGTGGTGACCAGGGCAAGCTCTGGTGTCAGTGGGCTGAGGGGGTTTTGCTGAGACCCACGCCCCCTAGTATATGCCTGATGGCTGGTGACCTCTGCAGTCCTAAATCCATGTGAGTCTGGAGGGGTAAGAGGTGGGAAGCAGTGAGGTCCAAATAGCTAAAAAGCTAAAATCATCTCCCAGAAATGATTTCAAGGAAACAAGGCCATAGGTAAAGCCATCAACCATGACCAGTAGGAAAATGCTGAAAGCTTGTCGACAAGCAGGACCTTGACCCTTCCATACTGGGGCATCCTCTGCTCAAGAAACTGCCAAATGCTGCTAGATAGAACACCTGAGATCACACAGTGCACGTGGAAGCCAGACGGGATTTATTAGAATTTGCAGAAGCATGAGATAATGTACCACAAAATAGCTTTGTTTTTATAACAAAAAAGTATGGGAGGGAGTTGTCAATGTACAATATGGTCAGCAACAAGGAGAAACAAGCAGTTTCACATTTTTTTAAAGGTGATGGATGACACCTGCACTTATCCTTAAAATATAATAAAAAAAACTCAGGAGTCCAGCAGAGACCAACCTGATTTGCAGTTAGCTTGAGTCTTAATCTAGTATCACCATTATAAGAAACTACAAGGAAACTATTAGAAAAATAGAACATCAAACAAGCAAAAAAATATCATACAATTTACATAATAAAAAAACACATAACTCTTTTAATAATGGCTCCATGTTCAGTAGAAGAAAAAATTATCCTGGAGAAACCACAGCTATTCAGGTTTGATAATAAACCAATCCTCATTAGTATCATAACCCTTTGT